TTCCTTCCTTCCTTCCTTCCTTCCTTCCTTCCTTCCTTCCTTCCTTCCTTCCTTCGGACAAGTTGCATGTGTCATGAGAAATATGATCAATGAAGATAACAGGTTTTTTCTAAAGCTGCAATAAGCATAACAAGTTTTTTTGTTTGCTTGTTTTTTGTTTTTTTTTTTAATTTTTCCCTCCAAATGGTCTGAATCCCTTTGGAATGTGTACATGGAAGCCAGTATGGGTTGGAACTGTATGACAGCTACAGTGCTTTTGGGAAATGTTACGGCTGTGATTGTGTAAAATGCTATGTACATACCACACTGCTTGTAGGAGGAGACTTGTTTAAGTCAGTAGATAGGTGAGCACTGTGTGACATAGTGTTCATTCAAGGTGGGGAATGGTAAACAGCAATTCAGAGCAAGACTCCATCTCTGTCTGCCTGTACGTGTATGCTGACATCGCTTTGTGGGGTCACTTTCCATGCAACTCTGTTTGCTGGGTTGACACCAAGCGCGGGGAAGGCTTGGCTTGCCTAGGGGATGGATCAGGATGTCAGAAAGCAGTCCCTGTTGAATAGCAACATCTTGGTACTGCGTTTTTGGTTTTAAAAGAAATGTGCTCTAGGCAGTTCAATAAAAGACAGTCATTAATTTCTGTACTCCGTGTCATGCATTTGATGCGCGGTGATGGTTGAGAACAGGTGCCTTCCAAAGAGCCAAAAAGAAGTGTGTCAGTGAAAGGAAAGATGGTAGGATTCCAACTCTGATCGTACTTGTGATTTAAGGGTTTGGCTTGATGAATAAGACATTTCTAAGCAGGCAAACCTAGAATGTACACCCTAAAGTCTCACCAAATACCGCATAAGCCTTTTGATCACTGGCTTTGGTGGGAAGCAGCTGCTGATTGCGCAGGGAAAGGCTTATGATGAGCTTTTCGAATATACCCGAGTGAGTTAGGAGGAATGAAAAAGTAACTCGTGTCCCTATAAGGAAGTCCCTGGGACTTGACCTCTGTGACTAACAATTCCCAATACTGCTTGTTTAAAAATTGCCAGCAAACCTCACTTTCTGAGG